ACCCATGGGGACCCCAAGGGTTGATTTGGGGAACACAGAACCCAAAGGTGAGATCGGAAGGACCAAATTTGGGGCCCCAAAGCCCAAATGGAGACCCCAAAAAGCTCATTAGTGACCCCAAAACCCATCGGGGGTCTTCAGGATCCATTGTAGGGTTCTGAAGGCCGACTTTGGGACCCCAAAGCTCAGATTTAAGACCCCCCCACCCAACTTTGAGCTCAGAAAGACCAAATTTGGGACCCCAAAGCCCAACTTTGAGACCCCAAATGAGTTTGGGATCCATTTTGGGGCCCTGGAGACCCATTCTGAGACCCCAAAAGTTGATTTTAGGACCCCAAAGACCCTTTTGGTGACCCCAAAACTCATTGGGGGTCTTCAGGATCCATTGTAGGGTTCTGAAGGCCGACTTTGGGACCCCAAAAGCTCAGATTTAAGACCCCCCACCCCAACTTTGAGCTCAGAAAGACCAAATTTGGGGCTGAAAGACCAAATTTGGGACCCCAAAGACTCATTTTGGGACCCCAAAGCTGAACTTTGAGCTCAGAACCCCCAACTTTGCCCCCTAAAAGACCAAATTTGGGACCCCAATGCTCACATTTGAGTCCCTTAACCCCAACTTTGAGCTCAGAACCCCCAATTTTGCCCCCAAAAGACCAAATTTGGGACCCCAAAGTCTGATTTTGGGACCCCAAAGCTGACCTTTGAGCTCAGAAAACCCAATTTTGGGGCTGAAAGACCAAATTTGGGACCCCAAAGCCCAGATGTGAGTCCCCCAACCCCAACTTTGAGCTCAGAAAACCCAATTTCGACCCCAAAAGACCAAATTTGGGCCCCCAAAGTCTGATTTTGGGACCCCAAAGCTGAACTTTGAGCTCAGAACCCCCAACTTTGCCCCCTAAAAGACCAAATTTGGGACCCCAAAGTCTGATTTTGGGACCCCAAAGCTGAACTTTGAGCTCAGAACCCCCAACTTTGCCCCCTAAAAGACCAAATTTGGGACCCCAAAGCTCACATTTGAATCCCCCAACCCCAACGTTGAGCCCAGAACCCCCAATTTTGGGGCTGAAAGACCAAATTTGGGACCCTAAAGTCTGATGTTGGGACCCCAAAGCTGAACTTTGAGCTCAGAAAACCCATTTTTGACCCCAAAAGACCAAATTTGGGACCCCAAGACTCATTTTGGGACCCCAAAGCTCAGATTTGAGTCCCCCCACCCCAACTTTGAGCCCAGGACCCCCATTTTTGCCCCCCAAAAGACCAATTTTGGGACCCCAAAGATCCCGGACCCCAGAGGGGCTCAGCGGCTGCGTCCTTTGTGGCAGCCACGGCGATTCGGCCCCGGGATTCGGGATGCAGGGTACCAACTCGGGAGCCATGGGAGGGGTGGGAGCGGAGGGGCGGATTTGGGGGGGCTCGGGGGGGGGGATTTTGGGGTGAAAAGCGTGGATTTTGGGGCTCAGAGGAAGGCGTCGCACCACTCGCGCAGGCAGCCGGAGCAATCGCGGCTCTGCTTGGCGTTGGCCCCGCAGGCGTCGCGCAGCCATTCCCGAAACAGCTCCTCGTCCTTCTTCAGCACCAGGAATTGCCCCAGCACCACGTAGGCCTGGAGGGGGGGGGGGACAGAAACAGGTCCCCAAAATGGCCCCAAGGTGGCGGCCCCAAAGCGGCCCCATAGGCGGCCATAAAATGGCCCCAAAGTGGCCCTGAGTTGCTCACAAAATGGCCCCAAAGTGGCCCCAAAATGGCCCCATGGAGTCACCGAGGTGGCCCCCAAAATGTCCCCAAAATGTCCCCAAGGTGGCGGCCCTCAAGCGGCCCCAAAGTGGCCCCATAGGCGGCCGGAAAATGGCCCCAAAGTGGCCCCGAGTTGCTCACAAAATGTCCCCTCAAAGTGGCCCTAAAATGTCCCCAAAGTGGCCCCAAAATGGCCCCCAAATGTCCCCAAGGTGGCGGCCCTCAAGCGGCCCCAAAGTGTCCCCATAGGTGGCTGTAAAATGGCCCCAAAGTGGCTCCAAAGTGGCCCCGAGTTGCTCACAAAATGGCCCCAAAGTGGCCCCCAAATGTCCCCAAAATGTCCCCAAGGTGGCGGCCCTCAAGAATCCCCAAAGCGGCCCCGTAGGCGGCCATAAAATGGCCCCAAAGTGGCCCCAAAATGGCCCCATGGAGTCACCGAGGTGGCCCCCAAAATGGCCCCAAAATGTCCCCAAGGTGGCGGCCCTCAAGCGTCCCCAAAGCGGCCCCATAGGTGGCCGTAAAATGGCCCCAAAGTGGCTCCAAAATGGCCCCGAGTTGCTCACAAAATGGCCCCAAAGTGGCCCCAAAATGTCCCCATGGAGTCACCGAGGTGGCCCCCCAAAGTAGCCCCAAAATGGCCCCCAAAAGTCCCCCCAAAGTGGCCCTGAAGCGTCCCCAAAGTGTCCCCATAGGCGGCCATAAAATGGCCCCAAAGTGGCCCTGAGTTGCTCACAAAATGTCCCCTCAAAGTGGCCCCAAAATGTCCCCATGGAGACACCGAGGTGGCCCCCAAAATGTCCCCAAGGTGGCGGCCCTCAAGCGTCCCCAAAGCGGCCCCATAGGTGGCCGTAAAATGGCCCCAAAGTGGCTCCAAAGTGGCCCCGAGTTGCTCACAAAATGTCCCCAAATTGGCTCCAAGGTGGCCCTAAAACGTCCCCATAGCATCCCCATAGGTGGCCACAAAATGACTCTGAAGTGGCCCCCAAATGTCCCCCAACGGGCTCCAAGTTGGTCCCAAGATGTCACCATGGAGTCACTGAGGTGGCCCCAAAGTGGGCCCCAAAATGGCCCCCAAATGTCCCCCCAAAGTGGCCCTCAAGCGTCCCCAAAGCGTCCCCTGCAGCAGCCATGAAATGGCCCCAAAGTGGCCCCAAAGTGGCCCTAAAGCGTCCCCAAAGCGGCCCCTGCGGCTGCTGTAAAATGGCCCCAAAGTGGCCCCGAGTTGCCAACAAAATGGCCCCAAATTGGCTCCAAGTTGGTCCCAAAATGTCCCCATGGAGTCACCGAGGTGGCCCCCAAGGTGGCCCTAAAATGTCCTCAAAGTCCCCGTCCCCC